TCGAATTCAAAACAAAGTTCACTTCCTGGGTTTCTTGTGCTTCCTTCCAGTTCCCCCAGCCCTGCCCATTCGGGCATGCTCAAGGGGTTGGAGCTCTAAAGATTTGGACCTTTCATACTGCCTTCGAAAGGCCTTAGCCTGAGCATTGGTTGCCAATTGAAATTCTGCCAGGACCGCAAGTCCTTCATTAATGTATATTCTCGCGGTCTTTGCCGCCTGCCATCTACCTGCTATAAGCAGTTTGTCTAGCGACCCGTGTTTTGCAAAATAGGAGGTGGCACCTCCCCTTCGCAGGCTGTAGGGCCTAAAAGAATGCTCACTGAGACCAGTCGCCTCCAAGTACTCAGAAAATTTCTTTCGCCAGACATGGGCAGCCTCGCAGAGTGAAGGTCTAGAACCTGGGGTATTTTTCCATTGCCATAAGCGTCTCAAAGTATCCTCTTCGCGGATTGTGACACTTTCGGCTGCGCCTTGCCGCCGTCCACCTTTGGTCATCCCGAGGGAGACTATTGCGACACTTCGGGGTCCCTTCTGCTCTATGTGTGCCTTTTTGATACCCAACAGTTCACCTGTTCGAAGAAGTCCATGGAAACCTAAAAGAAGAGAAAGGGCAAAAAGGTCATCTTTCTTGAACAAGCTGTAGCCAACGAGGATGTCCAAAGCTTCTGTGGGTAATGGAGGTGCACGACTGGGAATTTCAGTGGAGGACCATGTCTTCATCAGTCTCCAGGAGGATGGGAGCCTCCCCTTAGCCGATGGGCGGTAGTCTTGGACTGCTGCAATGGAATCACAAGCTAGGGCTCGGCCTTCTCCACTTTCCCATAGGAATTCAATGTAGTGGCTCAACCAAAAATCAAGCGTCGAGGGATCATCTGGAAATCTCCTGCTCTCTTCTCGAAGGAAATTGCGAAATCTTTCAAGGGCCTTGTCATATCGTGCTCGTGTGGCTGGTTGAACAGCTAAGTGACGTAGTGGTCCCAAAGCTCGCCTCTGCTGTTGTCGGGATGCTTTGTCTTTGCCTTCTACATATGCTTTGCTATGACTCACCATTTCTTCTTTGCGGGGCGCCTCGAAGGCGCATCTGCAGGGTTTTCCTTCGTGTGAACATAAGCCCACACGCCATGTGAGCCACTGGCAAGGAGCAAAGCATTTATCCGACTCATCGTTCGACGAAGCTTTCTGCTGCTGCTGCGTCCCCTTGACAGGGAGTGGAGACACACCAAACGTGCACAAATTTTGTTCGCAAGGCCTTCTTCTTCACAATGCGCCAGCGGAGAGAAGTGAGCACTCGAGGACATTGATGTGTTCAGGAGATCCCTTCCAGGGCCAACCCATGACTGTCTTCCACTTCCATAAAGCTGATGGCAAGCTGGCCCTCAAACGATGGTAGCGAAGCGTCTCCTCACTAGGTGCCTGGATCATGATGTCCTCTCCTTTCAAGCTGACCATGTTCAGGAGTTTAGAGACAAGCTCGTACTCCCCTTCGGTCCCTGAGCGCCTGATACGCCTCATGGCTTGTCGCTGCAACACCCCATGGCGGCCCCCGGCCTTGTCGCTTCCACTGCTTCTTGAGGTGTCTTTGCCATGCATAGCCCCAGCAGATGACCAAGCTGCGAGAGGAGCCAAACAACCACGGGCACATTCCAACTGTTGCCGATCAAGGACTTTCTTTCATCTTCATGGGCTTCGCTTCCTTGTTGCTGTTTTGGCATGCAATGTACCGTGTAGTTGCGAGGAAATCCCATGATCGTCTCGCGTTCCTGAATGGACGGGATTCGGCACACGCCGTTTCCTTCTTTGACAAGTAGGCGATGAGAGTATTGGTAAGGGGGGAAACGAAACTTATCCTTTTCCCAAGCAGCTTTCTCCTCTGGCTTCAACTCCTCAAGGCCTGCTGGCCTCCTTCCCGGCCATGACCGCGGTCGAGAGGTGGTAAAAGTCGGAAACGGCTCCTCCGATGCCTTGACACAGCCTGGCTCTAGGAAGTCCTTGGGGTCAATCACGGAGTGCAGCTCAATCTCATAGTATGAGGCCATTCCCTGGTCAACTCTCGGGTGAAAGCGCACACCTGGACCTGGTTGCAACTCCCAATCCAGCCAGTACAGCCGGGGGCGCCTCTATCCTCACTGGGGTGTCACCAAAGTCTCGGGACATGATCTCGCGGTCTTTGCGGTCCATGGAGGCCACGCTCTCTGCCAAGTACCTGACCTGTGCCCAAGGAAAATGCGATTTCAGGAGCTCCTTTATGCGCCGCACGTGACTGAACAAACAGCTCCGGTGATCCTTCAGGGCCCCACGACGGTCACTGTTTAAACCACTCACTCCTTGACAAGGTGGTCCAGCACCTAAGAGAACTAGAGAGGCCTGGGAAAACCTTCCTGCCCAACCACGTACCATCTCCGAGTCCACGGCTTCCACTCCACCTTCCACGAACAATGTAGCGGGGAACTTGCTCTCTAGGACGCGGCTGGCCTCCTTCTTTACTTCAACGCTGATGTGACCCAGGATGGGGAAACCACAAGCATCTGCTGCCACTCTCAATGCGCCAATCCCATCAAAGAGCCCCACGGTGAGGACCGCACACAGGTCAGATGGTTCCGCAACATCCCCACGCACACTAGCTCTGGCTGCTGCTTCACCAAAGCCTGTAAGACCAACGCTCCGGGTGAGCCCTCCTCCACTGGTAGAAGCGTCGCTCGCCGTGACCTCAGCGCTCACCTCCAACCTAAAATCCATCTGTGCCAGGGGGACCAATGCGATGAATCTAGCAATTTCCAGCTTGACTTCATGGGGAATCTCCAGCTTGATCACTGGAGGATAGTGCTTGAATTCCTGGACAAAGCGCCACACTGCGTTCAAGGAGCCCAAGAGAGGTCGTCGAAACATGCTCATGTACACCAAGCCTCCTGTGACGATCTGGATTTGCTTCACTGAACACCTCTTCTCCCCTAGTAGGAGACTTCCTAGTTGGGCATACTTCAAGACCTTCGCCGGTTTGGGATAAGCTATCCCCTTCACCCCATCAATGATGGCACCCTGTACCTCTGCCTTCAAGGCTCGAGCCACTCCTTTCTTAGGGTGTCGAGGGACTCCCCACCGTTCATATTCTGACCGGAGTGCCAGAATGCTAGCGCTTGGCTCCCCCCTTAGGAGCTCTGCTGTCTTCTTGTCCATCTTCTCCAGGGAGTCAAAGTTGTCCAGATAAATTCTGTGCAGGGTTGATGATGAAGAGAAAGGCGCCTGTCCTTTCGTATCTCCTGTTCTGGCTTGAGCCCCTCCTCAACCAAACCCCCCGCACGCCTCACCATAGCCCGATGCACGTGCTGTGCTAGGCTCACGCTATTCTTAAACCCCATGGGGAGCACCTGTGAGGCTAAAAAATAGGGCCCGTCATCATCCGGCCACAGCTCACGCGGGATGGGTTTGTTAAAACCAAGGAACATCGACCATTCCCGAGGCACCTGGAAAATATAAAAGAAACAACGAACATCCTCAGACGACACGACCAGATCCTCTGCCGGCATAAGTTGCAGTGGACTCATCGTCGCCCAGGTGGGTAACGTGGAGACGTCTCCATCGATGCCACGACATACGAGATTCGCCGGTCGAAGATCCATGATCAAGCGGTGGATGGGGTGTCCTCCTTGCTCCTCCCCCTTGGGGACTCCAAAGAGTCCGTTTAGGAGGGGTCGACCGCCTACATGATAAAGTTCGGCTTCCTTTAGTGCAATGCACACTCCATTGCCCAACAACCCTTCACACACTCGGGGCCACGCCTCGTCGCTGATCATCAATCGAGGAGGCTTCATTGGCTTCTGCATCTCCTCGGGCAAAACGTACGATGCGAAATTCATCACATAGTGCCTACATCCAAGTTCAACCACATCAGCCAAGGGAACCGAGGCAATCTCAGCGGGCATCGCTGGGGAAAGGTTGTCCCATGTGGTGTATTGAGCACAAAGAACTTCTTCCCCACAGTAGTCAATGGTCTTTACCTGTAGGAACTCCTGCCATGAAGTCTCCTCAAACTTCTCTTCCCATTCCAATACAGTCCTGGTTTGACCTTCGAGGAACCTCAGCACACCTACCTGGAGAGCCACTGGTGAGAAAGGGTTCTCCAACTCCACCCCGTATAGGCAGTTCAAGGCAACGCACATACCTCGAATCACAACGGCAACCTCATCTGGAACCTGCAGCGTTTCCCTGAGTACCCCCATCTCAGTGGGCAACGGAAACAGGTCGCCCGTGGGCTGGGTCATGCACTGCAAAGGCAACTCAATCTTGGAGCTAGCTTCAACTAAGATGGAAATAACCCAGGGAAAAACACTAACTAGGTCTTCTCCCCCGCACGGCGGCTTCATGCAAACTTTTCGCAAGGTCGCGACGGGCTCAAAGGCGTCCACACCTGCTTCTTCT